GCCTATCTTATTTCTCTTTAATAAATATATATTTTATTCATAAACTATTGTCTGCCTGAATTGCTACAAACAGAAAAGTATAGTTTCTAGTTGTAATAAAAATTATACTTATCTGTTGGATATTGCTATAAACCTGTAAAGAATTCTTGTAGCTGTGTTATTATTATAGTACTGCTATTAAAAAGGTCACAGTACTATAATAATAATATTTATATAAAACTTAATTGATATAAAAAAAACTAAACTGATTGTATTTTAACTTATGCTAAGGCATAAAAATTATATATATATAATATTTTATTGTTAGACTATATATCTTATATTCTTTTTATTACTCTACTTTTAAACTTATATTTCATTCTATAGTATAACAAATTATAAACTTCATATATTTTTGCTATCTTTATTTATTTACTAAATATATAATATACTATTTAAATCTTTAATCATACAAAGCAATGGTTTTAAATAAAAAAGAATTTCTATATTACTATATGTTTATTGTAATTATATTACAAAATTGCTAAATATAAAAATAATAAACAATACTGATCTTTTAATAAAGGTAGCCAAATTTTCATTTTTTGTTAAAATTTTAATTTTGAGATTATTAAAGTGATAAGAAGAAATAAGTTATATTGCTACAAGGTTTTTAACTATAGTAAATATTTTATAGACTGCTTTTTTTATTTTTCTTTTTAGTATTGCTTAAGTTTTCTTTATTTAAATCCTACTAGAATAATTTTTTTGGTTTAGATACCAAATATAGAAAAAAGTCTACTAAAGAATAAGCTTAACTTAGACTACAAACTGCTTCTTTAATTCTTGCTTTTTAATATATTATATTAAAGGCTTTATTAATAGTGACTAAAAAAAACTTGTATAGTTTTTAAATATCAAACTTCAAGTTTTCAACTTGAGTTGGATAAAAATAGTTAGTTTAAGTGATTATTAGAAAGAAAATATTTTTTAATATTTTTTATTTATTTTAGTGATTATATAAATTAGTGTAGAATATTTCTATAGAAGCTAAACTACTTAGTAATCTACATATACTTATACTAATAAAGAATCACACGATCTATTAAAAAAAACTTATAAATAAGTTCTGTAAAGAAAACCCAGATATAATCTACCTAAGAGTTTATCTTTATCTTATCTAAAATTCTCAATTTACTAAGAATTTATACACTAAAAGTCTGCAGTAGGTGTCTATTAACCTTGTTAGAATCACTGCTCTATATAATATATCACAAAAAAATTTAGAAGAACAAATAGAGTAAAAGAAATTACAAGAAAAGAAATATTTTAAAAAGAAAAACAGATAAGAAAATATATATATTAAAAAAAAAGATTGAAAATACAATACAAAACTAAAAACTAAAGAATCTATTTATCAAATTGGTACCTGCTAATACTTTTATAGACTGAACTCAACCCAAACTTTAGAGTCTGGTTTGATTTTCAGACCAGACTTAGACTTTTATATCCAAACTTTTTAGTTAAGTTTGAGTCTGGTTCAGGTCTGGTTTAAAGTTTGCAAACTAGTCTAAGTCTAAATTTTTTTTATACTAGTATAATCATATAAATATATAATATAAAATGTGAGAAGGATGGTTTTTTTAACTTTATTAATATCTACCCCATGTAATTTTACAAATCATTTTGATTGGTTGTACTGAAAAGCATGATTTTGATATATATAGAAAATTGCGTAAAGATTATAAAATTATTGCATAATGATTAAGTCAAATATTTTTATATATATATAGTAAATAATTTATTTTTACAGACATTTCACAGACAGTTTATTTTACAAACATCTTATTTTACTACAAAGTAATCTGATCATAGTCATTAGAATTATATTTAAAATTATAGTTATAGCTATTATCATTATTTCTGTAATATCTGAAGATAAACTAAAATATTCTCTGAAAATTCTTCAGGTTTTCTAGAAATAATAATAATAGCTATAAAATAGTGCAAATTATAAGAAAAACTTGTTAGTAAAATAAGCTTTTGGTAAAAAAAACCGTAGAAATACTTATCTGTGAATTATTTATCTATAAAATAGTCAGTAAAATAATATAGATCCTTTGGCAGCAGGTTTGTTAGGCAAAGTATATTAATAAGTAAGATTAGGCTTTGTAACTGAAGTAACAGTGCAAAAACCTTATTTTTGTTTTGATTTTTGTAATGATTGACTTTACAGATATAGTAGCTGTGCCCTATAAGAAGTATGTATAGTTATTGTAGACATTGTTCAAAAAGATTTTCTAAATGCCAATATGATATAGTACAATTTTTATATTATGATATAAAAAAAATTTTGGCGTTGACAATATTAGATATAAGCATTATACAAAATCAATATGTTAAGAAAATCGACTCTATTCTGAATATTTTTTTGAATAAAAACAGAATAATTTAAGAAAATTATTAGGATATTGCATGCAAAATTTTTTTATAGGGTACAAGAACTTTGTTTTATAATATATTATCAAAAACAGGAGAAATATAGTAACTACAAAAAGAATCCGGAAAAATAATATGCAATAAAATCTTTCTATATTTTCCTTATCAAAAATGGAAGAAGGAATACAGTGATCACAAAAAGGATTTAAAAAAATAATATGCAACTAATTTTTTCATATTTTCCTTATATTATCGAAAATAGAAGAAATAGTAACCACAAAAAGGATCTAGAAAATAATATGCAATTATTCTTAAATTTGAATTAAATGAATACTAAAATTGTATAATTCATTTTGAGGTCAAAATCATCAAACAGAGATCAGTATTACACAAAATATTAATAGATAATCGATCATAGTAATGTTCTAATAGTTTAATCTATCTTGATAATTTTGGGCTTGAACGAATACTAATATTTTTAGTATTTACTGTATTTAAAAGAAAAATTATTGAAAACAAATCAATCGTTTATGAAATATCAGTAATATTTTAATAAAGCAATTGCTTATTTCAACTTAAATTCAATATTTGTTATCGTTTAATAGCTATGTTTTATAAATAACTAATCTATTTTGTGCTATTTTAAATTAGATAATAAGTTTGTAATATTCATTTGAATGCAGAATCATTGAAATTAAAATAACTATTCTCAATTTATAAAATATATAATATAAATAGATCTTTTTGCAATTATCATAAAAATGAAACGAATAATCAATTGTAAGAATTTTGTTGTTAATTATTATATTTGTTTACTAATCAATATTAATGAGAAAATAAAAAATAAAGCATACTACTAAAAATATATAAATATATTTAAACTCAGACTAGTTTGCAGACTTTAGACCAGACCCAGACTAAACTCACAATTGAATTTGAGTTTGGTCTGAAGTCTAAAATTAGTAAAATTTTGAGTTTGAATCTGGTCTGGTTCTGAACCAGACTTAGACTGGACCAAACCCGGATCAGACCTAGAAGTACTAGTATCTGCTAACCAAAATACTTATCTACACGATTATAGTAATTATATAAAACTCAGCTAATATAAAAAAAACTAATACCAAATGCACTTTGGCTTGTACCAATGCTTAAAAAATATGTGTAGTTTTTATTTACACTGTAATGAGTAGCCTAACTGTATAGTATTACAAGTTAGGCTACTCATTACTCGTTATTTAAAAACAAAATGATCAACATAGAAAATTTTCTTATTTAGTACCTCCCTATAATTCTTTTTTTAGATGGTGAATTTTCACCTACTGTGGCTTACCACACCAGCCAATTAAATTTTATTTTGGCATTGCATCAACCAATAGAAACTTTAGAAAATACATGACAATGACAAAAATTCACTATTAATTAGATGGTGAAATTTTGAACGGGTCAAAAATTCACCAAAACGATCGACAACCACGCCACCAGTTTCCAAAAAAGAAAATAAAAATCACACTCAAAAAACATTCTATCCGAATTAATTTTCTTGCTTCTAAACAAGATTTACAGTTCTAACTAAATTTGTAGAGAAATATTTATTCTATTAGCTTGTAAATTTTTAGAACGATTGAATCGATATTCATTGAGATACAATGATTTCTTTTTTCATTTCGTTTTTTTCTTTGCAGATCCTTATCGTATAGATTCGCGACGATCGTATTTAGCTCATACTTAAAAATTTTATTTGAGAAATATACAAAGTTGTTCTAACAAACTATAAGTTTTTTGTTAGACGAACAACTTTTATTATTGACTCAAAGTCGATTCATATAATAAAATTTCTCGTAAAATACGATTTTTAGTTTGATGGCTTTTTTCTAACTTTTTACAAAAAACGTTTTTATTAAATTTGACCTTTTTTTTACAACTTAAAAGTATCTCACAGGTAAGAAAACAACGTTTTCACTATTACCTGTGGGATACAGAAGCTACTGATTTGATTGGCTACTTTTTCGATTATGTCAAAGAAAAAAAATAAAATTTCTTATTTTGCTTCGGTAAAGCAAACCGGTGTGATTTGATTGGTTAACGATACCGTTGACCAATCAAATCACTTAAAAATGCTTCGCTCAAAAATATTAGCCAATCAAATCACTTAAAAATGCTTCAGTTGCTGCGTAAAAATGCTTCGGTTCAAAAAACTAGCCAATCAAATCACTTAAAAATGTTTTGGCTGAAAAAGGAAATATCGATGACCAATCAGATCATTTAAAAATGTTTCGGCTGAAAAAGGAAATTAAAAATAGATTCTATAATACTTGTTATCTTATTGGTTATCTATTTTGTTCTATCGAAACATGATTCCAAAATGCCAAGAATTTTTTTAGAGCCAGAATGAAATTACCATATTTGTTCATATTAAAATAGAAGATTCTTAAATGCCAAGGATTTTAATTTGGATTTGTCATTCGAAATATTGATTGGTGTTTTAAAACCAGTCATTCTTTTTTTTTTTTTAATAAATTATATCGGTTTTTTTTTTCTTGCTTACATATTTTATCAAATTTAATAATAAAAAAATAAACTAAATGTCTCAACTTTATCGTACAAATTTAGGACGAATTCCTAATAACCAACATGAATTTTTCGATACTTTATCTGAAAATGTGAGTACAAAGTAGTATTTCACTGAAGATATATCAATTATTTGATATATAAATAAGCAATTGTCAACGATAATATTTTCAATATTTAGTCAGTAACGAGTACGAAATTATTCACTTGGTTCATTTGAATCTAACTTTTTTTTATTTATTCATTCAGGAAGAAATTCATTTCGAAGTTTTTAGAAATTTTAATTCAAAATGAAAAAGAGAATTCAAAGAAGAAATCGATTCTATTGATTACAGAAGACGTGAAATGAATGTCTTTCAAACTACAAAGAAAGTTTACAAGAAGTTGAAAGGTTATTCAGATATTGATAAGAATGATTCTGACTCGCAGTTTTTGTTTTCTGAATATTATCATGTCTTTGGTAAATCAAATCCTTTAAGCCAACACGATCGCTCTTGTGTTGGTCATATCTTGAAACCAAAGAAGAAAATTCAGTTGAAGCATGTTAAAAAGGTTGTTGAAGATGATCTCGAAGGTGTTCAGGTGAAAAATGATATTAGATATATTGCAGGAAATACAGGAATC